CTAGGGGGGGGAGATGGCGCAGAGAAATAAAGGGAGACATAGAATCCAAAGTAGGCTCCAGGCTCTGGGCTGCCAGAACAGAGCCCGACACGGGGCTCGAACCAATAGCAGGATCATGACCTGAGTCAAAGTTGGAAGCTTAACTGACTGAGCCATGTGAAATTGGCACCCCGAGATCGACAACTTCCTAAACCAACCAAGGATTGGGTTAAATTAAACTTTATAAGGTTGTATTTATGAAAAAATGATGTATTAAGACAAATTTTTAAATGTCTTGTACTTGACTGAATTCTTCCTTTTAATGGATTAATATTTTCCCCATTTAAAAAAAATGGTCTAAAATATAATTTGTGGAGATAATTAAGGCCACAGTAGTGTTTTAGAATCAGTAAAGGAAAATAGTTCTTAGTAAAGTTGCTCAATAAGCCTATATTCTGGAATCCCAATACTCTGTTCTAGAACCTGTGTGTGGCCATGGTCTAGAGCCATCCGTGGGAGATGTGCCTCAGGAACCTCCAGACACGTAAATGCAGACCCTCAAGAGCAATCTATGCCTCCACATTTATCCCAAGGGATAACCTTATTTACAAAGATTAAAAGTGGACAGTTGGGAACTGGAGCTGTGGTAAAGGTAAGCGGTTTTTCCAGAGGTTTAATCTTGTCCCGAATAGATGATCCCTCATTTGCAACTTTTGATCCCTTGGTTGGACTTGAACTAAGAATTCTGAGGGCTGTCTGTGTCCCTGCTCTGGTTGGTCTCCAAGCTATCCTTTGCCAGGCTTTCTGCTGTGAAGAGGTAACCGATCTCCAAAATAATGGCAGGTACTTTGAGAAACGTTTCTTATTTCTGGGCTCAGGAGAGTGTTCTCAAATCAGGCCCACCTGTTCCCTGTAAGGGCAGAGGAGATTAGCTGTTCAAAGATGCAGAAACCTGCTCTTTCGTTTCCATCCGCTTTCGGGGATAGACGCTGTGTAGACGCTGAGAAGCTGAACTGCCCTGGGCCCTTTGACCAGCACGTGGGGCAAAGCCCAGAAGGTGCACAGTCCACTGTGCAGCCAGGACAACAGCCCCCTTTCTAGGGTGTGCAGTGGCATGCTGGCGCATCCCTGGTGTTCACCGTGAGCCAGGAGTTATAAAAAGAGCATACAAAGTAGGAAAGGATGTGAGGATGCTGTGTCTTAGTGTCTCCAGGTAATGTGCGCAGAGTACGGTATAAAGGGGCTTTGCGGCAAAATCATTCTGCGAATCGTAAGGTGAAAATAAGTCATGCGTGGTCTAGGACAGGGCTGCTCTGGAGAACTTCCTGTGGTGGCAGAAATTTCTATACCCCATTCTGTGTGGTAGCCACTAGACGAAGGTGGTTACTCAACCTATGTGGGTAGAGACGTGAGGAGTGGAATTTTAAATTTAAATGGCTACATGTGGTTAATCACTAGTGTATTAAAGAGCACGGATATGAGAGAAAACACATTTGTATATATATACTCTCTATATATTCATTTTATATAAAGGAGAATTTTTGTAAAATTTGCATGTAAAACTGCTTTGGACTATGTTTACTCCAAAAACTTCAGTGTCTACAGATCTAGGTCTACCCACTGCCCACGTTGTGTTCCAAGCCTTGGGATTTCTTCTCAGAGAATACCATGTGATTGGTATTCAGTGTGGTCCCCTGACAGATCTGCCTAGATGCACACTCTCCTCTGAGTCTACATCGGGGCTGTATGAACTTGTCATACATGCTGTGGCCCCAACACACCCATCTCTGACAACCGCTAAACCCACTTTTGCAATAAAGCTTTATAAAGCACCGCTTCAGTTCCTGTGGTGCCTGTCTTCACTCTGTCGCCCTCTGGCTGGTCCTCACTACTGCATCTCACCCGTATCATCTGGAAGTCTGCTCACAACAGGTTTTATCCATGTCAAACTAGCCGGTTGGATACTGAAGACCACCAGTTAGATGGTCTTTCATTCTGTGTGCTACATGTACCAAGGGTAGGTACTGGGCAAGGCCTGGGGACTAGGTGCTGTAAAAAAAACTTAAGAATGGGTAATCACAAAGACTTCATTTCTGAAACTACAAACCAAGGCACATTGGCAAAAGATTTTCAGCCACAGCCAGTGAGTGGCAAAAGGCAGTCTGGGAGATACTGTTTGGATGCCAAAACCTTTGCAGTGTATCAGCAACAGACTTCGTGATGGCCAGGTCTTCTGACAGAAGCGGTCTATGAGCTGGAGTGTCCTGCCTCTAAAGTAGTAGCTGCCTTTTCACAATTTGCATAAGCATTGAAATAAATTAGCATTTGCACTTTTTTTTTTTTTTTTTACTTGCTTTGCTTGGTTGTTCCCACCGGTCTATCCTGATTTAAATATGAGGTAACTCAATATTTTAGCACAAAATCATGTATTAACTGAAGTTCAATCTTTTTTAATGGTTCACGGAGTTGCACACCAAGCAGCATGGCTTCCCTCAGTAACACAGTCCCTGTCTCAACAACCACCAAAGACAGGAAACGAGGCAAGATGACCTGAGATTACTTGAGTGGTACTGGCATGTGGCGTTCCACTCCGGAGAGGGCTCTCCTGGTGGACTAGGGCTTCATGGAGAGCTCCGACGTGGAGGATTCTGGAGCAGAGCCTTGGGAGGAAGAGCAGGGACATCTGGCCAGCACTGGCAGGTAGGAAACTATATAGTCATGGAAGGAGAACCATGGTGGTGTTTTAGAAGGAAAGTGAGTGGATCCGGAGGCAGAGCCAGATGGTGCATGTAGGAAGTTAATGGCTGGAAAGAAAGGTTGGAGTCATATTATAAAGGAAGAAGGGAAAAAGACTATTCTGAGTTCTCATCTATTGTCTGATTTAATCTTCACAATAGCTCCATAATGGAGGCTGTGGATTAGCCAGGGAATGCTTAGCTAGAAAAACAATGCAGTCTGGGTTAGCTTAAACCAAAGAAAAAAATGCGTCACAAGACCCCAAGGGTTAAAGTGTAGTCAATTTAAATTGGTATCTACCCACTGTCCAGTCACCTGTGATCAAGGGTGGGGGAGGGGGACCGAATTCTACACAAATACGGCTACTAAGGATGCCATGTGAGTGGATACTGTATTGAATAGAAAACAGAATATATATCATAATCCTTAGAGGAATTGTGAAAATGTAATGGAAAAAACTGTAACTCAGAATTATGTAAAAAAATTAAAATTGGAAGGGTAAAGACTAGATATATAGATAAAACATGCTTGGTCATTAGAATTGTTGAGACCAAGTGATGTGTACATGGGATTCATTATTCTGCATATCTTTGTAAATGTTTAAAATTCTCCTTAATAAAAAGTTAAAAAAATACATAGTTCACACAGGGTCCCTTGGTCCTTCTGTTCCAATCATTGTACATGCTTTACTAGATTAAAAACAGACTTGAAGTTCTTTTCCATGCAAGGAAGACACAACCACCTAGACTCATTAAGTAGAAAGTTTCAGACTCGGTAAGCATTATTGTCAGAATTCCAGCTGACTACAAGTCCTGATGTCTGTATTTCCTTGCAATTTTGATTTAGTGGGTCTGGAAAGGGATTTGAGTGTCTTCTCCCCTAGTGACTCCTTCCAACTCCAGTGACACTGATGCATGTTCAAGTTTGGGGAGCACAGCTTCAAGGGATTCTATGGATTATTATATGCAAGTCATAATATCCTTGGTTTGGGTCCTTCTCTGCTATAGGACTCAAGCAGCGTGATGATGTGGTACTTTAAGCACAATCTTAACTACATCAATGCATTATATGGCATTCTGCCATTCATTCTCATTTTGTGATTCCAGCATAGTGTCTTTTTCTTGGGCAACTGATTTATAGAGCCTACTGCCATTTTAATTGCTTTTGTTTCAAAACATAAATCTCATGGATGAGTTTTTATCTCCCATGTAGCACACTCAGCTTACATGTTGTCTGAAGTCTTTCCCCAGGAATGCTCCTGCCTTCCTTTACCAGGGCAGCAGCACAGAGGGCCCTGTACTCAATGGGCCACACCCTTGGTTTAATGCTCTCCTGTTGTCTGAAGGTCTTAATGTTGTTTCTGAACTTGTGTTTTGTAAGTGAAGTCTCATGCAGTATGTGCCCACTGTTCCTCACCAACCCACTCAGAGCCTTCGTGATGTCTGTATGCACAAAATTCCAGCAGACCCGTGATGCAGGAGTTGAGAGGAGATGCAAAGTAAATATAAGCAAGTTATTCCTACAACTAAGTGGGGCCCCGAGAGCCCTAAGAGGCCACACTATTTAAACCAGACTTTGAACGCAAAAAGAAGGTAACAGCATTCTAAGCAGCATGAATGACCATGGAACCCTGTCATATCCTTTTTTACTCATGTTACTTTTTTTTTAAAGTTTTTATTGTACTCATGTCATTAGCCATTTACTCACTTCATTAGCCATCCACTTATGCTGAATATAAGAAAAAACGAAAACAAAAGGCAGCCCATAGTTCTTTCAGTCCTTCCTTACTCATTAGTAAGCTGAAAGAATAAGAATGTGTACATACGAAGAAGTGAATAATTGAGATAGGTTTTTTCGGTTTTTTTTTTTTTGTTTTGGCAGTGTTTCCAGTGTTCTAGTAAGGACAAAATACATATACGTACAATATGTGCACATAAACTATGAAATGCAAATTATCTAATTTTGGTGATTCTACACAAGTTCACTGCCCTTCTAGTTGTAGTTTAAAACTGGAATTGCATAATACAAAGATGAATAAAGTTAATGCTAATAATTTAGAATTTAAATTTTTCGTTACTTAGAACAGTATTAAGTAGAAAATAAAAATCCACCGTAACAAGATGTGAGAGACCATGGAAGAAAGGGAGAACATTTCAATGCCTTTAATGGTACTATTTCCCTAATTTCTGGACTTCTTCTGTGCTGGGCCCTACACATCAGCTAGCTGCCCGAGTCTTCATGCTCTCCTTTCCTCACCAGAACCCCCATCCTCTGCTATATCCTAAGAGGGCTCCTGCTGATGTGAAGGGCTCTGCTGCCCTCCTGGGTCTTCTGCTGCCTCACCTGTGGAAAGCAGAACGGGGCCAGGCCTGACTTCAAAGTACCTCAGGGGACTCAACAAGCACTAGAGGAAGGGTGCTTGCCACAGGAGAGGATGACAGGACTTCTCAATCCCCTTCTGACCCTGACTTGTTCTGGAGTAGCAGCCACAGGCTGGAATCACTTATCTGGTGTTATTGGTTCTCCCTTTGGTTTGATCAGTTTTGGAAGAAAAATATTTCTAAAAGACTAAGACTTCAGCTCTCTTCCTTGACAGCTTGGTCCCTCTTTGTCCCTTTCTGCCACTCCATGAATTGTTGGAAGCAGTTAGAAGGCAGAGCAGGTGGAAAGCTCTTGTCAACAGTGGTTTTACCAAAATTCTTTATGAAGAGTCCTGTAGACAATACTTGGGAGTTTTTGTTTTTAAATGGTTCAAGTACAGCAGATCACTTCCTCTTAAAAAAAAATTAAGATAATGTTGACAAACTTTATAGCAATCTGAAAAGGGAGAAGAGAATTACTTATGAAAAATAAAAAGAACATGTACAATTGTATCTTCAAGAATTTTCATGGACCATTATGACCCATCAAATTAAGGTATCCACATTTTCTAACAAAAATGAACCAAGAAAGGGCAGCATGAAAATATTCTAACGCAGTGCTGCCCAACAGAACTTTCTGTGATGATGGAAATGTTCCATTATCTCTGTGTTGTCTAATACAGAATCTACTAGTCACATGAATACTCACAACATGGCTAATGCAATTGAGGAACAGAATTTTTCATATAAACAGCCACATGTGGCTAGTGGTTACTAACTGAAGAATACAGTTCTAATGTCTCATGGGTCAAAACCAGCGATTTCCTCAGGGGCCTTCTTTAATCATGGCTGAGGGATGCAGAGGAGTGGGGGTGGGGAGAGGGGAAAGCCCTGAACAGATTATTTAGCTACTTAGTAAGTTCTGAAGCTCTCCACAGCTTTTGGAGGCTGGGGGTGAGGAAAGGACTCTGGGGGAGACCTGAGAATGCCCTTGAACTCCTGGCTAATGCCAACAGGAGTAAAAGGACTAGGATTTGGCTCACTTAGATGGCGAAGAGGCCTGTGGTGCTACACACAGAATCGGAGGCTTGGGCCATCTGTACATGGAAATCATCGCTGTGGGGCTGGCAGGGATGTGGAGGTGCTCATTTGCGGACAGGGTTTCCAGGACTAAAAGAGGATTTAGAGGTGGAAGGAGGACCTGAGGGCCCTTTCTGGCCACCTGCAGGCTGGACAGGCCCTTTCTTTTTGGGGCTTAAGGTCTTGTTCTTGCTCTTGAACACTTTGCTGGGATCCAGCTTGTTCACGAAGGAGTTGGTCTCTTCTGCGAGTAGGTTTGTGTTGTAGGTGATGGGTTTATACATGTTGAACCATTGCTGTAAGGCAGAATTGGGAAAGCGGTCACAATTCAAAGGAGAAATGCCACTGTTTATGCTTTTTAGTGGGGACCCAGGGGACAGAGGTCTGGGGAGATGGGGCAAAGAGAGCAAAAGGCTTTCTGAAAAACTGCCTTGAAAATCTGTTAGTACTTCCTTTAAGTGAAAGTGATGGCACACACATTGCTTCATGAGGTCTCATAACCTTTACAATAAACGCAGCGCGAGGACTAAGAATGTAAGTAAACATCCTTCCTTCTGATCTAGTGAGCCCTGAGTGTGGGATGTTAGGTCCCAGATCATCAGTGTTCTTCTAATTGTTCTGTCCTCAAACCAGCCACTGCCCATCAGGTAGACTGGGCAGTGCCTTCCTCACACGGAAGGTGCATAACAGAGGCCAGTAGCTGGCCTTGGCTGAAGGCAGGTGCCTGTTGGTGCTGTCTTCCCCTTCTGGGCAAAGAGCATCACATTTATTGATGTCACAGGGCTGACTGGATGATGCTGTTATGCGACATTTGAGCAAAGTGGGGCCCACCAGATGAATACATACATGGAGCTGAATCCCTCATTTATTGTCACCCAGCCTAAGTTCTTCCGGGCATACCAGGCGGCATATGAGCATTACCTGGCGATCGTATGTTTGAAGTGTTGCCCAGATGTGTAATATAAACGAGACACATCCATACAGTGGAATATTCTGTATCACTAAAAAGGACAACTCTGTATGTACTGTAGGAAGTGAGCTCCAAGATGGAATGTTAAGTGAAAAGAAGGTTGCAGAACGATGTGAAAGGTGTATTATTGCAGTTGTGATTTAGAAAAAAGGAACCAAAAATCGTATGCATGCATGCATACTTTCTAGGCAGTAAAGTGTCCTGTGAAAGGCACAAGAAAAGGGGAACAGTGGCTGCCTCTGGGGAAGGCTGGGAGGCTGGAGAATCTGGGAGTAAGAGACTGACTTTTCACTTTTCCTGTATCTACATACTATGCAAAACAACTTGACCTAAGCCCTCAATAAAATTTAATTAGAAAGTAAACTCCCAGGTGATCCTGAGGATCAGTCAAGTTTGGGAACCACTTGGTTCAGTATAAAGTGAGGCTGTCTACCTACACTGGAATCATCTGCCTTGCATTATGAAGATGCAGGTTCTTGGGCTCCATCCCGGGTCTTCTGAATCAGACAGGGAAACTGAGAATCTACAACATAAGCATCTCAGTAGATTCTGATAGTCCAGTTTGAGATGATAGGTGTCCCTCCCTTACCTTGGCCTGTGGGCTAATGCCGTAGCTGGTGAAGGCGTACTGCCACTGTGGCAGGCCCAGGTGTGTGATGAGCAGGCGATAGTAAGCGGTAAAGGTATCTGTGAGAAAATGCCAGTATAACGCTCTGTCCAGGAACCAAATCTCAGCGTCTTGCGCCAATGCTGAAATAGCAGACAAAAGAAATGAATGCATGGTGTAACACTTTTCTTTTTTTTTTTTTTTAAATCTTTTATTTTTGAGAGAGAGACAGAGCGTGAGCAGGGGAGGGGCAGAGAGAGAGGGAGACACAGAATCCGAAGCAGGCTCTAGGTTCCGAGCTGTCAACACAGAGCCCCATGTGGGGCTCGAAGTCACGGACTGCAAGATCATGACCTGAGCTGTAGTCGGACGCCCAGCCGACTGAGCCACCCAGGCACCCCACACTTTTCTCCTTTTATCTGTAACGTCAAAAAAAAAAAAATTCCAATACTTCAAGGATGTAAAATTAAAGTTCCCTCCCCCCAACCTCCCAGGCCTATGCTCCAGTGGCCACTGTTAGGCATTTCATCGGTATTGTTTTTTACAGATTCCTGATCAGTCAGCTGACTGCCCTGTGTGCTTGGCACTGGCCTTCTGTGCACTCAGGCTCTCCATTCAGCCACCCCTGCTCCAGTGGGACATACTGTGATCTCAGCTTTCCTGATGGAAGCAGACTCTGAATGGCTCTGGTCTTCTGAAGAGGTCTCCATCAGGAATCTGAGGGGCTGTGAGCAGCCACTACGGAGGAGCCCAACCAGCACCCGTCCTGGATCCCACCTGTGCTGCTGCGAGAGGTCCCGGCTGAACTGAAGAAGGCACTATCACACCAGCTCTCACCTCATTTGCTTCTGACACTCCACTCTTCCTACTGCAGACCTCTAATCTAGTGCAACTCCTGTCTAATGGACTTAATGTCTCCCTAAGTGGCCCCAACCCTCCAGTCTCTTCCTTTTCCAAGACTGCTTGTGGTCACATACACTTGCATCTCAATTCTGCCATTCTTCTATTGAACAACCTTGACTTCACACTGTCAGGTCCAAACTCCTGCCAAGCTCTGCATGAAGGGGAACAACTGGCCTCTGGCTTCATCTCCTCCCCATCCACAAGATGAACCGGGCAGCCCAATGAACTGAAGTTATCTGTCACTCCTTCCAAATCAGTTGCACTTTCCCATGGTGTAACTTTACTGTGTGTCTTTGCCTGGATGCTTCCTTAACTCCTCTTGTACCACACCTTCCCATAACCCAATATGTAGATGGAAGGCTACTTTGCAAAGATGGCCCCTCTTTTCTCCAGGGGCAAAATCCTGACGTCTGTATCTTCTCACCCCTACCAGGCAGAGAGCTACTAAAAGAGGGCTCAGCCTTGTCTACAGTCCCTAAGCCAGGGCCTGAACTGCTGTTGGGGGGCGGGGGGCAGATAATAGTTGCTTCAACAGAGGCTGGAGGCTTTTACTCTGGCTTTCTCATCTGAGGTCTTTAGCTTGAGGTTTACTAATTCAGGTTTTTAGTGCTGTCAACTTGCCTATGTATAGAAGTATACTAGAAGGATAATGCTTTTCCTGGATGCTTTCCTAATGTGTCAGCCTGCTAGAGGAGCCTATAAACAGAATGACCATTTCTTTTACTTTTTACTTGCTTAGTATCCTACTCCCACTATTTTGTAGTAACTCACAAATGATGACAGCTTAAAAAGACTCTAGTGATTGGCCTAGAAGGAGATGCTCAGGGAGGACCAGATTTCTCAGTCTTGGCATCTCCAAGAGACCCAGTGGCATCTCATGAGTCCAGAGAGGAGTGTGCCTTTTGTGTGAGGACCGGAGAGCAGGGTCATCCATGCCACACCCAACGGCAGCCCCATGCTTGTCGCTGATTCTTACCTGGCTTCCCTCTTTTGTAGACAAGGCAAACTTTCCCATTCCCATCGCAAGGATCCAGCTCAAATATCACACTTCGAGAATCAAAGTGAGGCTTCTCTGGCTGGTTCTCACTGGCTGCAAATCCAGAAGTTAATGGTCATGTTCAAACATACTCAACTCAAATACATACTTAATTGTCCAGTTTTGCTAGGGTGAGGAAAAAAAAAACCACAAAAATGGAAAAAACCTTATCTCAGACATAGTCTTTTAAAAAAAATATTAGAGAAAAAGAGAAAGTGGGTGTGCATATGTGGAGGGGAGGGGCAGAGAGACAGGGAGAGAGAACCCCAAGCAGGCTCTGCGTTCACAGAGCAGGGCCCAACATGGGGCTTGATCCCACAAACCAGTGAGATCATGACCTGAGCTGAAATCAAGAGTCAGATGTTTAACCGACTGAGCCACCCAGACGCTCCTCTCAGACATATTCTTAACGACTGTTTCCAATGTGGGCCAAATGAATTCTATACTCTAAATGCCCAGGATCGTATCCATGGTTCAAGCCTTCTGTCTGGGCTTCTCCATCACCAAAAGACAGTATCACGCAATCTGGGGGAAGGTGGCACAAGGAAAACAACCTGAACTTGCTGAGAATGGGAATACATAAAGGCTAAGTAATCTGGCCCGATGTTGACACAACTGTTCTTTTCCCCAGATAACTGCTTTCTCCTCATTTATAGCACTTTTTTAAAAAAAAAATCTTAATTTTAGAGCAAGTGCATGTGAGCAGGGGCAGAGAGAGAGAATTTTAAAAAAATTTTTTGAAGTTTATTAAGAGAGCGAGCAGGGAGGAGCAGAGGGAGAGAGAAAGAATCTCAAGCAGGCTCTCAGGTGTCAGCAAAGAGCCTGACGTAGGGCTCAAACCCACAAACCGTGAGATGACCTGAGCTGAAATCAAGAGTTGAACGCTCAACTGATTAAACTACCCAGGCGCCCCACTATGATCTTTTGATTAGAATCTCCTTTCCTCTGTCTAAAATGCATGTTTATAATATTTAATGTTATTTTATAATTAGTGCTAAGTCTGGCTCAATTAGAAATACTATTTTTTTACTTATACATATAGCCATACATGTAATTTTATACAAATGTGTTTGTTTACATTTCTAACAAAAAAAATTTAAGAAATTAAAAATTTTTAAATAATTAAAAATTATTTCTTAAAAATTTTTAAAATTTACATCCAAGTTAGTTGGCATATAGTGCAACAATAATTTCAGGAGCAGATTCCTTAATGCCCCTTACCCATTTAGTCCATCCGCCGTCCCACAACCCCTCCAGTAACCCTCTGTTCTCCATATTTATGAGTCTCTTATGTTTTGTCCCCCTCCCTGTTTTTATATTATTTTTCTTTCCCTTCCCTTATGTTCATCTGTTTTGTATCTTAAAGTCATCACGTGGGTGAAGTCATATATTTGTCTTTCTCTAATTTTGCTTAGCATAATATCCTCTAGTTCCATCCTTGTAATTGCAAATGGCAAGATTTCATTCTTTTTGATTGCCAAGTAATACTCCATTCTATATATATGCCACATCTTCTTTATTCATCCATCGATGCACATCGGGCTCTTTCCATACTTTGGCTATTGTTGATAGTGCTGCTATAAACATTAGGGTGCATGTGTCCCTTTGAAACAGCATACCTGTATCCCTTGATTAAATACCTACTAGTGCAATTGCTGTAGTTCTATTTTTAGTTCTATTTTTAATTTTTTGAGGAACTTCCATACTGTTTTCCAGAGTGGCTGCACCAGTTTGCATTCCCACCAGCAGTGTGAAAGAGATCCTCTTTCTCCACATCCTCGCCAACATCTGTTGTTGCCTGAGTTATTAATGTTAGCCATTCTGACAGATGTGAGGTTTTGATTTGTATTTGATGTTTTGATCTCATTGTGGCTTTGATTTGTATTTCCCTGATGCTGACAGTGATTTGATCATTTTTTCATGTGTTGGTTGGCCATCTGGATATCTTCTTTGGAGAAGTACCTATTCATGTCTTTTGCCCATTTCTTCACTGGATTATTTGTTTTTGGGTGTTGAGTTTGGTAAGTTCTTTACAGATTTTGGATACTAACCCTTTATCTGATATGTCGTTTGCAAACATCTTCTCCCATTCCACCAGTTGCCTTTTGGTTTTGCTGATTGTTTCCTTCACTGTGCAGAAGTTTTTATTTTGATGAGGTCCCAATAGTTCATTTTTGCTTTTGTTTCCCTTGCCTCCGGAGATGTGTTGAGTAAGAAGTTGCTGTGGCCAAGGTGAAAGAGGTTTTTGCCTGCTTTCTCTTCGAGGATTTTGATGGCTTCCTGTCTTACATTTAGGTCTTTCATCCACTTTGAGTTTATTTTTGTGTATGGGGTAAGAAAGTGATCCAGGTTCATTTTTCTGCATGTTGCTGTCCAGTTTTCCCAGCATCACTTGCTGAAGAGACTATCTTTATTCCATTGGATATTCTTTCCTGCTTTGTCAAATATTAGTTGGCCATGTGTTCGTGGGTCCATTTCTGGGTTCTCTATTATGTCCCATTGATCTGAGTGTCTGTTTTTGTGCCAAAACTAAAAAAAAAATTTTAACATGGCTTTCCTCTCTCCTAGAGGTTATACTTTCATACTCTTTTTGATCAATTCACGGAGTACAAGTTCTGCCTGGCTTCCCCCTCTCTATGCTGTAGGCTGGAAAACTCTCTTGAAGTAATAAGCTGAGGTTCCCTTTATTTCCATCTTTCAGGCTCATTGTCCTCCACTGCCTGATGGTCAGTGTCTTGAAATCCATTTTTATATATCTATGTATCTCCAGGTTGGAGGATAAATCAGGTCTGTTACTCCATCTTGGGTGAAATCTAAAGTCCAGATTGTAGGGTCCCACCAAGTTTCAGCAGCCCTGACTGATGATGATCAGGGTCTGTCCTCTGGAGAAAAGTAATAAAAATACGAAACTCACTCAGTGTGGTTCCCTTCTGCCATTTATAGATGCCACTCCAGTTTTTAAAGCTTTTCCAGAGGAGGGGCGCCTCCTGGGCGGCTGAGCGTCTGACTTTGGCTCAGGTCATGATCTCCTGGTTCATGAATTCGAGCCCTGCATCAGGCTCACTGCTGTCAGCACCAGAACTGTCAGCACAGAGCCTGCTTTGGATCTTCTGTCCCCCTCGCCTTCTGCCCACTCCCGCTTGTGTGTGTGTGTGTGTTTTTTTTTTTTTTTTAAAGAGGGGCACCTGGGTGGCTCAGCTGGTTGAACGTCTGGCTTTGGCTCAGGTCATGATCTCCTGGTTCTTGAGTTCAAGACCCACATTGGGCTCCATGCTGACAGCTCAGAGCCTGGAGCCTGATTTGGATTCTGTGTATCCTTCTCTCTCTGCCCCTCCCCCATTTGTGTTCTGTCTCTCTCTCTCTCAAAATTAAACAAATGTTAAAGAAAAAAAAAGAAAAAGCTTTCGCAGAGTAGTCTTGGTATGGTAAAATGTACTCTGCCATTACCAAAAGGTCAATACTTGAGTCTTGCTTCCTTTTTTACCAAATAAACAGTGTCACCTATTTTCAGTTCCTCACCGAAATTTTAGTTTGGTTTTATCTTCGTGTGTACATTAGCATATTGTTGTGCCCAATAATTTCACTCTTGGGAGTACCAGTGGATCTCTTTTTTGTTACCTGTTATTTGTGCTGGTTCTTGTTCATGGCGTTGTTTCTTCATGTGTGTATTTTTTAAAGTAATCATTTTTTGAAAAATTATTTATAAAACAGTTTGAGGTCTAAGGTAATGTTATCTTCCTCTAGGGTAGAATTTTCTTTTTATGTAAGAGCTTTACTGAGATATAATTCACGTACCATACCACTTACTCATTTAAACTATACAATTCAATGGTTTTTTAGTATATTTACAGTTATGCAACCATTAAGACAATCCATTGTAGAACATTTCTCTAGAGTGAATTTGTTTGTTTCTGCTAGGCCCCTGAGGAGCTTAGTAATCTGGAATCAATTTAGTCTAGTTTTGGGATTTAACATGTTCTGGGACACACATAGGACTTACACGTGAGCTTCAGTCCATGTGAAAAATGGTTACTTTCGGTTCATTCAGTCTCCTCTGGTACTGCTCCTCATGGTGCCAACCTGAAAAGCAGGGTAGTTTTTATGGGTGCCAACTTTTCTAAGTCTTGGACTCTGTTTTATCCCCCTGGCTTCAAAACGAGTCCAATTCACAGCTTTCCAGCATCCTCAGTGCCTGTTTGAAAAGGGCAATGTACCCCAGGCAAAAGCAACTCCAAATGCTGCATCTCTTCCCTGGATTTCTGTCTTCTGGATGTTGATCTGATATTACCTCATCATCTTGTTAGCTCTCTGGTAAACATTTTAGGAAGATGGTTTTTGTATTTTGGTCTGACTTCTCAGTTGTCTTTAGCAGGAAGGCTCTCATGAATTACCTGTCTGCCATTACCAGAAGAGGAAGTCTTTTCATCAGTTTAGCTCTGCTCCTAAAAATAACATAGATGAGCTTTGCTTTTTATATTGACAGTCTTTGGTTTTCAAAAGAGAAATTCAGGGGCACCTGGGTGGCTCAGTTGGTTAAGTATCTGACTTTGGCTCAGGTCATGATCTCACAGTTTGTGAGTTTAAGCCCTGTGTCGGGCTCTGTGCTGACATCTCAGAGCCTGGAGCCTGTTTCGGATTCTGTCCTCACCCCCACTTGTGCTCTCTCTTGCTCAAAAATAAATAAATGAACATTAAAAAGAAAAAGGGAAACTTAATCCCAGAACATTTAATATCGTGATTGATCTGTCTTCTTTTATTTCTCTTAATGTTTTGTTTCCTAATTTATGTTTCTTCTTTTCCCTCATTTTTACTCATGTGATTCAATATTATTAGGTTGGTGATATTACTACACATTTTTATTTCTATATTAGTTACTTTCCTTATTTTCACTTGTTTGTATTATTAGATTCATAGGACTCTACCCTTATTTGAAAATAGACCATTATCTCCCCTAATCAAGTGTGGTATGCAGAATTCCAAGACGGCTCCCAGGATTCCTGCTCCTTAATATACAGACCTTTCATGACCTCCTGCCCTTGAGTATAGTCAGGACC